CCTAACAAAAAACGTCACCACATCAACAATTATAAGAATTACTTTGTTAAGCAGCAACCTGTTTTTAAATCCACTTATTATTAGTCTTATATTACATGGAGCGTCCGCCTTACAAGTCCGTGTATGAGCAGTTACTATAGAAACAATAACATATTAGAACGAGCGCATTAACATTAACGTTCATATTACAGTCAGAAATGCCTGTGCTGTTATACGAAAATAATGCACACTTTCTGACCAATCAGATTCGAGCATTCAACCGTGCTGTGGTATAAGGAGAATTAATCAACACCATCTGACCAATCAGAGTCAAGAATTCAGCAGTGTTGTTGTGTAATAGAGGATGGAACAAGCTAACCGAAAACCTTTCGCAATAAAACAAGCATGTGATAATTATTCTTCAACATTGATTATTTTTAATGGTGTAAAGATGTGCAAGATGTCATTGTACATGCAGCTGGCTGGATAATGATGAGAAACGGCAAGATCGCTGCGTGTACGTTCTCCTGCTGTGACCCACATTGCGTATGATTAGCTGTGGGACTGGAGCAGAAGAAGACCTCATTTCTGCCAGCTTTAGCATGTCTTACTGTTACTGTCTATTCTATTGAGAGAGACAGCGAGACAGGAATAGCAGCAGAATACATCACCCAGTACTGACATTTGCAGGAGTACTGTTATTTTTCCTCTTGAATATAAGAACTCGTTTGGTAGTAACCCATTTAAAATGAAGAAGTTTGCAGGGGACCGTAAGGAAAGTTCTGCCTGACTTGCAAATACATGCAGCTCCAGAATTATTTGCACCCTTGATAAAGATTGGTCATGAATATATATATATATATATATATATATATATATATATATATATATATATATATATATATATATATATATATATATCGGCTAATCTCAGTGTTCTTGAAATCAAATTAGGTGTTTAAGAGATTTTTTTTTAACTTGTCCCTGTTATGGACACAAATATGATAGTGTATTTAGAAAAAAATCCAAAAATTAGTTTGAGGTATTGTTTTAATTTTATAGTTTGTAGTTTTTTATAGTTAGTTATAGTACAATTTTATAGCTTGAAAATGATGAGTGGTGAGAATTCCTCGCTAAACTCTTCACTGTTCTCCGTATTTCGCTGGTTTGCTGGTTTGCTGGGCGTCTTGCGTTATCTCCAACACTTAAACACCTAAACACACCATCAGCTCTCAAATGCTGTTTTTTTTTTTCAATTTAACCTTTAATTGAAGGAAATTTATTTTAAGAAAATAAAAAAACAACCCTTATCAAAATAGTAAAAAAGAAAAACACATATGTCAGAATTATTGGCATGTGCTTGTAAATGTCAGCTTTTAAAGCAGCTGGATGTGCACACCTAAGGCCTGGCTAATAAACGTAAAGGTTTTAAGTCTAGCTAGATTTATAGTTTTCTAATAATATTTTCTAGCTAGATAAACTGATTCAATGAGCCCTGATAATGTGACATCCCCATTTTCTTTTCACATCTACAGCTAAACTTAGGTGTTTTTTTCTAACACAATATATCAGTTTAGGAACATCAGTGAAGTTACCAAACTACCCCATGTTAACATTAGCAAGCTAACCAGTTAGCTTGGATAATAGTGCCTTTCTTTCTTCTATGTGTGTTAGCGAGCTAGGTAATTTTAGGCAAGTTGTGTAATTATTGTGTAATTAAAACCAGTAGCAGGGTTAGCTAGCAAGCTGGCTATGATCAAGGCTATTATATTGTATAATCAAACCCACTAGCTAAACTTTGTTTATGATTTGCTAATTTGCGAGTTCACTTGGTGTCACTTTACTAAACGTGGATTTTTTGGTGTTCATAGTCAGTCTCGCTTTCTAGTAAGATTTTATCACTTTATTTGTGTAGGAGGAAGAATTCTGTGACCATTGTGTAACAATCCGGAGTACTAGCATTTCTCCAAACCTTACGTCGTAGCTTTCTCCGGCTCTATGTGTGTGTGTGTGTGTGTGTTCTGTCTGTTTTTTATCCAACTATGTCACACTTGTTTCTGGTAATTTGGGGCAAATTCACTCTTGCTGCACTTGTAACTGTCAGCTCTTTCAACGGTTCTGTGTCTCGAACTGGATTCCGCGTCACTTGTAAGCCGCTTTGGATGAGCGTGTTTGCCCCATGAATAAATGTAAATGTCACAAGCTGTGCTTTTCTATTTATAAAACGTCTGTATAGAATTTCTGACACATTAAGTGCTTCGATCCAAATGTTTTACAGATTTTAGCCTCGTAAAATTGCTGCTTGTTATTTGGTTAATCACTTTAAAGGGCATTTCTCGGTATCTAATAGGAAAAGTATGTAGTACAGATGGATCCTGTGAGTTGTATGTGAATTCTTGTGCCTTTGTACCAATTAGGGCTCGGTTGAACATCCTGAAAAGGAGCAACAAGGTTTTCCATCACCGTTATTGCATTTGTTTTATTTGCAGTATCTGTACATATCTTTCAATTCTGTCCGTTTCAGACTCAGTGTACTAACAGGGGAACGTAGCCCTGCTTGTTTGATGGTTGATGAAGAACAATGTACATTTTAATGAGTGTGTGTTTCTATTTTTATGCATGATGCATGGTGGGATTCAGAACAACAAGCTAAACTGGTATCCTCTTCCTGTTTATGTACATGTCATTTCCTCTCTCTCGCTCTTACATTCTGATTGGCTGTCTGATTCTCCTGTGTTTTTTTTCCGTAGTATTGCCCGCAGGTGTCAGTTGTTATCATTTTCTTTCCTTAGTTAACATCGATTTGAATTGTAAACACTAAAACGCACATGATTAACAACTTTATGGAAACACCGCCATTAGTGCTTTCCATATTTTACATATATCTGTGGGAACATTGCACTTCATGTACACTTGTTTTGTTCGTATGTATTTTATATTTGGTTTTTGTTTATTCAGTATAGATTCTTTATCTTAGGGGTTGCAGAATTCAAGTACATATTTAGGGCATAAAGTACATATTTTGGGTATGTAGGAGACATATGGGTAAAATCACCGCTAGATAAAACCGATGCCTGGTGTCAGCTAGGTCGAACCTTTACCCAGAGGTGTTCATTAGCGTTCCTCAGTGGCATTTCCCACTTCCCTGTGTAATGAGTATTTTCTCTCACACCAGCACACTGAGATTCCCACCTGAAATACTGCTTATTAGCGTCTGCGCTGGTATCCTGGAACCCCGGAGCATTATTATGGGATGACTCTGTGCCTGTGTTAAGCTGAGGGTTTGTCTTCACTTTGCTTTTGGTATTCTGGATGTTGTTTAAAGTGAGGATAATACCTAACCCAGGCACAGGCCTGATTAATGGTACTGTTTAAAATGACAGGGCTCGGAGTTTGTTCTGTAATTTACTCCTGTCTGCTCAGCTTTTAGGAAACTATGTTCAGTCAGATTACTCTTTTATAATAAAAAAGAAGAAGAAGGGTAAATGTAGAATCATTAACAGTTGTTGTATTTCATGTATTTCGTGAGTGTTTTCCCATAAGAGAGGTTACAAGTAGGACCACTTCAGGAAGCTAAGAACGTTTAACTATCCAAAAAAAACCCTCTAAAGACTTCTTTTTTAAGTGTTTGCAGCCTAATGAAAATCAAAGGATCAGTCTCAACGACTTTGTGGATCAGTCTCAATGACTTTCCGTCTCTATTGGGGGAAACTCTACAGGAATAGACGTCACATTAATACCATGATGGTGCAGTTGAGTAGAAGGTTGTGAGTTTGAGTCTCAGAAACACTATTGGACCATTATGGTATATTCACATTCCTTTTTTTGTTCTACTTTCCATTCATTTTTTTTTTTGAGACAGACAAAAATCCAGACGTTTCAGAACGTCAGAACTTAATGCAAATATTGCTGGGTGATGTCTAGTCAGATTGTTTAATGTGGCTTGGGTTTCCTCAAGAGTCATTACCACAGTACAAGATGGAGGAAAAACAAAACATGATAAGAGCACCACAGTGACAAAAAAAAAAACCCCAAACAACCAATGCATTACATTGATTTGAAAGTTTAATTTATTGACTCGAATGCACATTGAGTGGGAGATAAATAAGTTAATTAAAAATGAAGGCTCATTTAAATCATACTGTACATGCTGGGTGAAACTAAATTCATTTTGAAACTTGAATAGACATAGAAAATTTACTATATGCAGTCTGGTTTAATTTGTGTTTCACTGAGGCGTATACTTCACTCTGGACTTTCATTTCAAGACACGCTCTCAAAGCAGCTACCTGCTGGCAATAGAACTATTTTAGTTTGCTTTAGTCTGAATGTTCAGGTAATCAAGGCAGGAATTCATCTACCACATGCTTTTATTCAAACCGACTAACAAGTAGGACACAATCCAAGCGCAAAGCTAAATCGTTGAGGATTAGGTCTCAACACGAGCTCTGGTAGTTCTGAGATCTGAGATGTGATCTTATCAATCACATCTGCGGTGTAGGAGGGTTTTGTGACCATTAAATCTTGGTTCGATTGGCTGAAGAGATTTCCGAGAACTGCTTTTGAATTATTCATCTACGTGGACAGATTTACATCACTGATTACATGAAACATTTTTGCTGATTGCAGGTATAGAAATAACTCACAATGCTTCCTAACCCAGTTCTCCCATTGTCCTATTTGCTTTGTGTCGTGTCGATTATTTATTAATGCGTACAGTGGATTGAGGACTCGCACTGCTGCCGGTTCCTCAAGCCCCATCTCTCAGCTTTATTGTTATTGATGCCGAGATGCTGCTGAAATAGATGAGCTTTCAGTACTAAATGCTGATGCGTCACAGTACACACATTAATCACATATACAGTTTGTTAGACGAGATGTAGCAACGAAATGGACATTTTCTCTGAGAAAAATGCAGATTCATTAGGAAGAATTTGGTGTCATTTTCCAGCAGCTGTAAGGAAAATGTATAAGGAATAAAACATTTCAGGGGTTTCAGCCTGAATAAAACATTTCAGGGGGCAGTCGTGGCCTAATGGTTAGAGAGTCGGACTTGTAACCTGAAGGTCGTGGGTTCAAGCCTCAGGTCCAGCAGGGATTGTAGGTGGGGGGAGTGAATGACCAGCGCTCTCTCCCACCCTCAATACCACGACTGAGGTGAGACCCTTGAGCAAGGCACCGAACCCCCAACTGCTCCCCGGGCGCCGCAGCAAAAAAGGCTGCCCACTGCTCCGGGTGTGTGTTCACAGTGTGTGTGTGTGTGTGTGTGTGTGTGTGTGTGTGCGCACTTGGATGGGTTAAATGCAGAGCACAAATTCCGATTATGGGTCACCATACTTGGCCACACTTCACTTCACTTCACTTCACTTTGGTTATAGGAAAATAGTCAACGTCGGTGTGGTACGGCAGATTTCCTGTTATCACCCTGAAGCTGATTGTTTTCCTATAATGTCTCAAAGTGTTTTATTCCCCTTATACCACAGCAATTTGCCAACAGTTACATTTTTATTTATTACTGAATGAAACATTTTACTTTTTATTCATTTATAGTTACAGTTAATGTTGTGGAAAGTCCACAAAACATGTTTGTTCCTGTTATCACTTCCATTATAGCAGCACCAGCACTGGCTTGATGCTTATTACCAAGCCAATAACAGTCACAGAGATTATCTTCTTTTCTCAGATCTATCTATTTTAGTCATAGCTATCATGATGTAAAGACAATTTAGCCAAATTTGTCTTAAATAAAATCACATATGGCAGCTTTAAGTCTTGGAATAAGTTTCATTTCTGTGTTTCTGATAGCAGGCATATTGATCAAAAAAACTCATAAAACTGGTGCTCTTACAGTAATATCTGAGGTTGTTATTGCTGTGTGCAGTGGGCTGCGGTTCAGAGACTGCTTCAGGCCATGAAGCTCCAGCGTGTTCATTACGGGAGCTGAGAATGATGCGTGTGTGTGTGTGTGTGTGTGTGTGTGTGCGTGTGTAACATTGTGTGTTATGGCTAGATGAAAGCGAGTGTCTGGTTTACAGCCTGAAAAGATAAATAAGTGAGATTTGCTCTCGCTGTGTCTCTGAACTCGGGAAAAACCGCTCATTAAAAAAATCTTTTCGGCATCATCAGTATGTTACTTATACTTCAAGCGAAGTCGAATGTATTTCTGTAATGCCTTTTGTAATTAAATATGCCTCAAAGCAGCTTCATAAAGAAGTAAAACAGAAAAGGAAGTATGTATAAAACAAGATAAAACACCACAATAAAGTAACTAGTATTAAAAGCTTTGAGATCAGCTACTTTTAACCGTTGCTCAGACTCGGAAGAAGCTCAAAGGTGACCGGGCCTTTTCTGTATGTCGCAGCTCTGAGATTGTGGAACAGCTTACCACACATTTTTATAACGGCATCCCCACCATAGACATTTTTAATTAGAATCTAAAAATATAGTTATCTTCCCAGGCATTAGAAGGTCTTTAAGATCTATAGTATCAGGTCTTCTGTTTTTGTCCTGTCTTTCATCTGTGGTTTTGTCTTTTAATGTTTTTATTTCTCCTTTGATTTACTGCTTTAGTTTTATTCTTTTTATTGGAATTTTTTTTGTCTTTTATTTCATTGCCCAAATTTAGCCGAGATGATATACAGCACTTTGGCTGACACTCGCTGTTTTTTAAATGTGCTATATGAATAAAGATTTATTTACACTTGACTAAAAATAGTGATAATGTTTCCATTTATAGTCCTCTAAGTTGCAAATATTATGCAGCCAAGTGTGTTATACAAACTCCACTGGGAACTGGTACGTCCTGAAAAACCACCTTAAAATGCCACCTTCAAATGGCACTAGCTTTGAGATAGACTTACTAGCACTGTAACTATATAGTCCTTTGCAGTTTATAGACTGTAAATGTGTATTACAATGAAGCACAACTGAACCAGGGTTGTAAAAGAAAGTGATTATTCTTCCTTATTGGTTCCTTATCATAGCCATTAGAAAACAATCCATTTGGGTAGATCAATATGTGTGTAAGCTTAGCGTAGGTAATAAAATATAAAATGAATAATAATAATAGTCATTTTGTTTTGTTATGACTATTAATAATAGTCATGATAAAATAAAAATATTAATAATTATCCAGTTATGATGTAATATGTTTTAAATTCTTAGCTAATGATCAATCTCTCCCTGTGTTTACACTAGCAGGTGTAGATATCGCTTGTAGTTTGTCTCTTGTGGGTATGTAGTGCCTGCTACCGTAGCTATATATAGCTTCTGAAGCTAATTAGTTAAACACAAATGAAGTAATATACTAATCAATGTGAAAAGTATGTGTTTGATTTACAGGTTACAGGCTATGATTTGCACTAGCTTTATCGGCAGACTGGCAAAGCAATCTAATGCTGCGTTCGAGGCGAAGTTGTAATTCCCCGCCTACAACCAGTAAAAACCACTGAAAACGCTCTCTCATGTTGCAATTTCAACTCGTCAACTTGGGGTAATTTTCTCAACTACCAGTTCCTTCGCCGTTTACGGTGTGACGTCAAATCAACATGGCCGCTCAGACTGTGAACAGTGTAAAGTCCCTCTTCTCTACTTTTAAATGAGTTTGTAGCCATAATGGCTTTAGATCAGTTAATATACAGACACAGTACTTGGTTTAATTTGTAACACTGACCATACTAATCACTGCTTGAGAAGGTCATCATCAACATTGGAGTTATCACTAACGTTAGCCGGCAAGCTTGTTGCTAAGCTACTCGCTATTGTCTGCTGTTGTTGCTGTGCTGCAGTTGCAGTCCTAAATGTTGCATAAATACGTTTAAAGTTCATTATAGTAGAACAGAACCAGTAGCTACTCGGGTCTATAACTGTAAAAGTGTGATAAAAGTAGCGTTTTCACTTCGTACGTTGAACATCCCGAGGAGGGAAATGACGATATTACAGCTTACAACTATACTTACTGACCAGAGGCTCCAACAACCTCTACTACTTCCTTCCAAGCTTTATTCTTCTTTGTAATGTCTATATACTCTTTTAGTGAGAGGTAGTATATAAGATGAAACCATATACGTTTACGCTATACGTTTCTCTTCCATTTTTTGCGCATCACACAGTATTTGTTTGCAGGCAGGAACGAAATTTTGAATTAATGTTGGACGACACTCACCAGAAATATTGGTCTGAGGAATCATTTGAGCTAGTTGCTTGGATTTGTCGCTTTGCCGTGTCATACCTAATTAGCACAGAATAGAGAAAATCTCAGTTTGCTTGTTGTTTGTCAGGCTTTCGGTTTGTCGCTTGCCTTTGTTGCTGAAATTCCGTCTCGTGAATGTACAGAGAAAACGCATGATCACCTGTTGCTTTGTTGCATCATTCATTTGAAAAATATATTTTATTATATGTTAATGAATATCAACTGTATGCCTCAATCAAAAGCAAAAATTTGACTCTGTCAGGATATCACTCATCACCTACTTACATCAGTGACCACGAAACCCCTACTACTATAACAAGAACAACCAACCAATCACAACATGACTGCACCCTTAGAGCTACACCACATAGCCACAGCCATATCACATACCTGTAGACCTTCATTAAAACATTCACTCACACCCACGTGTCTACATCACACACACACATGCAAACCCAATGGTATGGTAGATTGTTAGTATTAGTTACTATTCTGTTTTTTTTTTTTTTTGGTTAGTATTAGTTCGTATTCTGTCCTCTTGCCAGGATCTTGTTGCTTTGTGAAGCATAATGTTAGACATTTCACTATCTTACTTCCTACTATCCTTTTACAGCAAAATAATTAAACAGTTCTTTTTTATTCATACAAATACTAGCTTAAAAGCTAAAATGTATTCAGTATTTTAGTTTACTTATTAAAAATATTTGATATGTCCCATCATTTTACCTAAAAAGAATTACTCATTCTCCTATTTATTTTTCGATACTATAATGTGACAAAAAATTAACTACTCTTAACTTTCAGTACTTTTGAATCTCATTTACATAAACGCTCACAATGTGGACATGGTTTTATGCCTATAGACGAGTCAAACTGTATTAAATTCATGTACTAGATGAGCTGTTTTACTTAAGTGATAGTGAATTGTCTGTAGCCTTCTTGCTAACACATTGGAATTTAAAATAGAAATTTGGTGTTAAAAACATAAAATACATCAGAAGCTAGAACTACAGTATAAGATGAAGATGTCTGGTATCATGGTATGACCATGGTATGCCCAATCTACAGTAAAAGCAACACATTGTGTAGGCTTTTTTCATCATTAAAACCTATTCCAAATATTTACATTATTATTATGTAGTTGTTGTTTTTTTTAATGGAGTATGTTGGAATAAAAGGTGGAGGAAATATGAGTGGGGAAATGACTCTGGGATGCTACTCACGCTTGAAGCCATTGACCTGGATTTGGTTCAGCTGTTGAGAGATGAGCACAGGAAGATGAATGACCAACGTTAGCTCCTGCTGGGAGCTACTCTCTCTTTCCTTTCTCTCATCCTGTCTTTTCTCTCTCTCTCTCTCTCTCTCTCTCTCTCTGTCGGTAAAGATTTATTTTTCCATCTTTCCCCTTCTCCTACTCTCTTTTTTGCTGCCTCATTTCACTCTTTCTCCAGACTATACTATAGACTATCATGCTATGGTCAGAAGTCATTGTGTGTTCTCTGTTCAAGCGTGTTAAAAAAGTGAAAGAGTGTAATCTCAGAGTAAAAGTCTAACACTCATGTGATGTGTTTAGTGTTAAAGGTGACTTGATTACGTGACTATCATTACATTAGGATTTATATTAGAAAAGAAAGATGGAATCAGGATATATTAGTTTTTGGTATTTAATGAAATAAAAACAGTCCTCAGTAATGACTCAGAATTTTGGACCCCACTGCATCCCTTTCTTGCTTCTACCGTGTATGTAATTATATTCCCATCTGTTTGTTTGGCCTTTTCCTTTTTCTCTCCAGAGTCATGTTTCTCAAACGGCTACCATAAGCATCTGTCTCTGAAGTTTACACTTTACAGCTTGGCCGGCTTAAACTGAAGATGATTTTTCCAAGAGCTTGTCCAGCCCAGT